ATATTTGTCTTGCTTGAAACCATTGGATGCTTAGTTTTGCAGACTCTGTCCTCCATCTGCTGGCCAGATTACAGCACTGCACTGCACCAGTAGCTACTGTTCAAGTTCACTGCTTTAGCTGGCAGGTTTTTCTGCTGCTGAGAGCGCCTTTTCTCAACACTCAAATATTTCATCTTTTGAATGAACCCAATTCTTCTTAATTTTAGTGGGGGAAGAAAAATTATCATGAATTTGCTAGACTGCAAACTGAGGATTTTATCTAACTCTAGTTTTGTTAAAAATAAAGTTCAGGAAAGAAACTGGAGCTTTTTGGGTCCTCAGATTATTAGGAAAATATATATTTAAAATAGCTCTGTATAAAGTACACAAATACTTTACTAATACATTCTCATATACTGCCAGATATAGTGGGATGAATTGGGGAAATCTTTGTTTCAACTGTTGTGATATTACACTGTCTTATATTACCCAGCACATTAGAAGCTTCTTAGATCCAAGAAGCTGACTCTGGTTTTCATTTAGACTTACAATGCTACAAGCAAACGATTCAAAATTTACAAATTGCCCATTGTCATGTAGTGACCTGCCTGAGGTGTGAATTTCTCTCAGAGCTCTCATCATTTGTTCTACATCTGGCTGGGTAGTATAAGACAGTCCCCTCTCTGTGTCACCAGACTTCTTAGGTAATTCCTTTAAAAATCTCTTAAATTTCCTCTCCATCTATCAAGACCATTCTGAGACAAGGTTGGTCCTTCTAATGATGTCAGATAAAAATTGGAAACTGTCATTGTTTCAAACGTTTCCCATATAGATTAAACAGGTAATCCTGTATTACCTGCTAGTGTTAGTCATCTTTTTAATAGGATAGTTGCATTGCCCAAAACTTTTTTCAGAAATGTATGTATCATAAGAAGTCGATAAAATAAAAACAAGGAGCTGGATTTGTCTAGGATGGAGGCTGTGGTGCGACTTCCACATAACATGATAGAATTGATGTTCAGCAGAGTCCCAAGACCAAGAGGTCAGATTGAGGACCATTAATTTTTTCTCTTTGTTACAAGTATAGTTTTTTTTATTTTCATATCAGACAAAGATATGAAACAGTTGTTTAACAGAGACCACCTTTACTGCAATTAGAGATTTGTGGAATTCTGATGTGGTCCTGCAGTCTGTATGTAATTAATCTTGTAGCTAACTAATATTGTTGATTATGGAGTGTCCATCTTCCTCACAATTATACCGATCATCCTTACAGCCATTGTTTCAATCAGAAAGCCAAATGATGTAGTGGCACTTTTTGTAATAGTTCCATACTTCCCTTTTTTGAGTAGAAGATTGTCTTGATGCCCCCACCAGTCTCTGTCCTGAGTGAGAAAGGGACCAGAAATTTCACTTAAACCCAACCATGTTTTTCACTTCCTACTTTCTGATATGGCCTTTTAAAATGTTTTACAGTTTTAGTATGAGTACAGATTTAAAGTATTAACTGTATTGATCTCTAGAATTGTGTAAAAGTCTGTATTTTCTTAAATGGATCACAAAGGAGAACTAAAACATTCAAGTTTGGAAGAGTAGGGGAAAATGTATTAACCCAATATGTAGTAGTAAATACAGAAGTTAAAATTGGGATTATTGTAAATCGAAAATAATTATTAAAAAAGCCCCTTAAAGATTCATGTATAAAGAACAGAAGGTCAATACATTCAGGTTTGTTTCACAAATAGTTTTCTTGTGCAGTTCTATACATCACACTTTTATTACATTAGTAGAAATAGGAAAAGGTCCTGCAGTGCATAAATAATATCAGAAGATAACTTAGCTCATGTCTGTCTTACAGATTTCTCTTGGCAGAGCCATATCAGCTAGGGGCATGGGAAAATCACACCACATAGCCAGTGTAACTGTGTTTGCCAAACCTCTGCTATGGACTCAGCTCTGTTAGAGAACTTTGGATAGTCAGAGGAAGCTGACGTGAGCTCAGCAAGAAAAAACACCTTTTTCCTGAAAGCAGAGCTGTGTCCACATTTGCTACCATAGCACTAGCAGTGCAGTTAGTGGCAGCTGCCCCCATCGAGCAGATATAGCCTTAATGTGCCATCAGTGAAGAACTAGTTTACAAACTTCTAGACAAGGATGAAAAGCACCTGCTACTAAATTAGGCTTTTAAATGTATCTAGATAATCTGTAACAGGGGCTGGTAGCTGATATTTTGATGTCCTTATATCAGGATTGGATAACTTTCTGGAATATTTGCTGTAACCAAAGACAAATAAATTACCAGGCTTGATTTAGAGGTCAATGTGTGTGATTTAATGGCATGAAATATGCAGATAATGAGCTCAGAAGAACCAGTTGTCCCTTTAGCTGTTGAAATCTATAAATCTATTCAATAAGTCTTTTAAAATAGTAGATTTTTAGTCAGAGCGATAATATAAAATCCTTTCATTGTACACCTAGTCAAATCAAAACAATGCCATATGTAGCCAGAATCTTTACAATTCCTTAATAAATTGTGCATCTCATAAAGCATCAAAATCTCTCTGTCTGTTAGAACATACATTTTGTAGGGTAAGTACCATAAATACAAGTCATAAATATTCTGTAACAAAGCATAGTTGTCATTTTCTGAACCAGCAGAGTACAACGCCTCATATGCCTAAGGGCTTTTTGACAGCTGAATGCTTATCTATTCCATCTTTTATCAAACCCAATAAGACTAAAATGTCATCAACTGTAGAATTAGATCACACAATCTTTCAAGTTGCTCTGGATCAATTCTGAAATGAAAACAGATCAATTTATTTTACATAGTTGGGACTCTTAGATTTGCTACCTATTTATTTACTTCCATCCTATTCTAAGTTATTACTATATATTGATTCTCAGCAGTAGATTTGTATGCTAATTGATGATCGGTTTATGAGGAGTTGAAAATTTAATCCCTTTACTTGTGATTTAAATTCCTTAGTGGTACCACCTGCTGCGAGTATGACAGCTCCCTATAACCTAAATTAGGATGATGAAGATGGAAAAGTATTGTTTACTGACAAGTGTCATTGAAATGAAAATACTTACCTTGTACTTTTAAATGTTTTGGTAGTTGTGTTTCAGTGTTCAGTTTTCATGGGACTGCAGTGTTGTCTTCTGGCCACCAGATAGAGACTGGAGCCTGCAAAGGAAGGCTTTTGTTTTTTTTTCAGTAGAGCAGCCTTTGAGGCTAAAGGAAGGCAGAATTACTATAATACACAACAGTATATGCTTAAGAATGTAGCTAAGACTTTTTAAATATAGGCTTTGGAGGGAAAAGAAGATAGTAAGTTTCCCTCCTTGTCAGTCTTCCTCTTCCCCAACTTTTTCTTCCCCCTTCCCTTTTTAGAATGTAGCTAAAAAGCTTATATATACAGGTCAGATCATGACTTCAGTAATGTTAACAGCCCTACTAAACTTCAGTGAGGCTGTATAACTATAGCTGAAAGCATATTTTAACTTGCAAAGTGAGAAAGGGGTAAAATTTAACTTGCAAAATCTTAAATGGTTGGGGACTCACGAGAAGGAAAGAAATGAGCTTAATTTTCTCAGGTTGCCTTTCTGGTAGGATAAGCTGGGTGTTATAGCTGTTGACGTTTTTCCACAAAGCATGGTAGTTAGAGCACTTCTCTAGGGTGATAGTGACCTGGGTTAGGTTCCCTCCTCTGCCTGAGGAGATCCCAACCCAGATCACCTAGGAGAGTACTCTAAACTGGTATTCTGGGGTGGGTTGTTTGATCTCACCTGTTGATGTGATTCCAATTAGTGAAGCAGACCATGTGATCTGTTCAGAAAGAGAAGACAGTGAGAATGACTCTATAGGCTGGTTGGTTGAACACCACAGAGGTCAAATCCCTGTTTTCATCTAGATAGGCCACCTCCCCACCCCCTTGACAAGATGAAAAGCTGAATCCTTCTGTGACAATTCAACATTTTTTTTTTGTTTGGCCACCCAACTGGAAATCATCTATTTGCACAGCCCTATTTGCAAGTAATTTTAAAAATTACTACATTAAGTGGAGGAGATGGGGGACAGGCGTGAGAAATAATTCTCCTCCTTTCTCCTTTTTCCAGGTCTCTCTTTCAGTTTGTTTCACAATTTGATAGTTAACCAGTTTCTCTGCTTTACTGATGCTGTGTGCTTTTCTCTAAACTCTGCAAGAGGTGCTTTCAGTAACAGCTAAACTGAAACTTGAGCAGGCAGCAAAGTAGAGTATACATAGAAGAGAGAGAGATGAACGGTTCCTGAAGATGTTTGTTGATGTCCCTTCTTGACCTACTCAACATACTTCTCCTAATCATGAACTGGAAGCAGGAGAACTTCTGTTTCCTTAAAAACGTAAAGGAATTGTGTTGACTGTTGTTTAAAGTGTATTTTATTGAAACTTTTAAACAAGTCAGTTTTAATATATAAAAGTAGGTGGCATTTCAGTATTTTAAAAACATACACGATGCTTTAGATTTGTCTGTAATAGATCTGGTTATACCTAGATACTGCAGAACATAGGCATTCCAGCTTTTCTTTTGTAATATTAAAACTAATAAATTTTCAAGTATAGTGACTATGCAGTTCCAAAATCACACATGTGGCATTTAGTATTTAAATACTTATTTCTGTATCCACTGTATTTTTATTTTTGTTTTTAAATATATTTGTGTTTTTTTGTGTGTGGTGACTTAGAGGACCCTGGAGGGAGGTAATGGAGAGAAGGCAGTAAGTAAGAGATTTGAATGGTTGATTTTTTGAAACTTTTTGAGAATATTGAGCCTATTAGTAGTTCCTTTTATCTAAACACTTATTTTTATAAATACTAGACGTTAAAAATGTTTTTATACATCAGTTAAAGGCAGAGCTGATAGGACTAGTCGCTCACTTTTTGAGGGGAATGCAATAGGATAGTGTAGTTACTGTTTAGTTGAAAGTGCTGGGTTTTTTTTTGTCTAAGATGATGCCTGATATTTTCATGTTACAGAGGCGGATGCCCCAAACCTTCCGTGATCCAGCTTCGGCTCCTTTGAGGAAACTCTCCGTTGATTTGATCAAAACATACAAACACATTAATGAGGTACATAATAGGCCATTTCCCCCAGTTAAATTTTTATTTCATGTAGTGTTATTTTGCTATAATTACAATGCGTATTGTTACCAGACTATTTAAAATGTTTGTTACTATGTGAATTTTGTATAAATTGCAGTGGATCTAGATGCATTTCTTTTACTGAAATGTTGTATTGGCATTATTTTATAATCTCTGACTTCACTTGAACTTCAAGAAAAAAGGCTAGATAAGAGCCAAATGAGAAAAAGGGAAGATGAAAATTTATATCTGTATAAATCGCTGCGTGTAAAAGTAAATAAATGGTCTATGTCATTTTTTGTTTTGCTAGCGCATGTACGCCCACGCGCACCGATTTCTGTAATTTTGGATGGGAGATTACAGTATACAGTTAGTTTCCGAGGTGCTACTCTTCCCTACCTTCTGCCTGACTTAAGACTAGAGCAGCATGTCTCGGCTTCTGTGGATCATCTTTAAAATTTTATTAATTTCTTTATACTTTAGAAAAATTGCGCTAGTGTTCCCGTGCACGCTCTTTCTCTCTCTCTCTCTCCCCCCTCGCTCTCAAAAAAGGCAAGGTTATAATGCCAGGAAGTAGTATTTCCTGTTGGCTGCCTGTTGTGATTAGAGGATAAAACAGATGGCCACTGCAGCAGTCACTGGTTTAATTTTGGGGTTCTGTATGGTAACTATTTCCTGTTGATGCTTCAGAACTGTGAAAACAAAAGCTGTCTAATGGTCTGTGCTTGGACTGGGGAACCCAGAACTACTTTGCCTTTGACTTGTTTGGTGGCTTTAAGATACTTAATTTCTTCACCTTTGTTTCTTTGTCTGCTAAATGTACGCACATAACTACCTGGCTTTTTAGCAGAGCACTTTGGGAAATGTTAAGTGCTATATGTATGTGCCAGGTATTTCCATATCTTTGAATCATTATCATAATATGCATAATACTGTATTTCTAGGCAACAGTTAGCAATATGAATTTATTATATAGTTTCTCCCAACTTTAATATTACTCTTAAGATTATTGTTTCTTTAAAAAAAAAAAAAACACAGGAAAAATGATGGGTATTCTGTTTTAATTTGTTAATTTGATAGCACTTTTGTCTATGAGTTCTATTGTTTTCCCAGTAAATCAGTAATCTTCTGGGGTTTTTCAATGTAAAAGTCTTCTATGCAGCAAAAGGAGAAGGAAATACTATATTTTATCATATATAAGTCACAATTTCCCCCCTAAACCAGCTGGGGAAGTTGGGGTACATGTTATATGCAAGGAAAAGAACTCTCCATGCATTCAGAAATTTGGCGGGGGTAGGGAGTGCAGCACACAGAAAGTAGAGTAGTGGCAGATCTGGGAGCCAAGGCAATTAATGTCGCCACCACTCTTTTCTCCTCTCCCCCGCCAAATTTCTAGGCTTTTGGGGAGCCCCCTTCCCCAACCACATAGGGGGGCCTACCCAGCACAAAGCCCCAGACACCATACACCACTCTAGAGCTAGTGCTCAGGTTCAGACTCAGCCCAAAGTCCAAGTACTGACATGCTGGATTGGGCTGTGGCATGCCACGTGGGCCCAGCACCAATGTGTCAGATTGGGTTCTGGCATATGGCCCCCAGCCTCTAAGGGGGTTTTTTTTTGCCTTCTTGGGACCTTCCAAAAGTAGGGTGTGTGTTTATATTTGGGGCCATGTTATATGTCGGAAAATACAATATTTCTAGAAGAGAAGTAGTGTAAAACCATGAAGTTGGAATTGGAACAGGTGTACTATGTGAAACTATTTTGATCAGATTTCAAATTGATGTTCCTGTAACCAAGTATTTTCCTCACCCACAGGTTTACTATGCAAAAAAGAAGCGGCGGCACCAACAGGGCCAAGGAGATGATTCCAGTCACAAAAAAGAGCGGAAAGTTTACAATGATGGTTACGATGATGACAATTATGACTATATCGTGAAAAATGGGGAAAAGTGGATGGATCGTTATGAAATTGACTCTTTAATAGGCAAAGGTTCCTTTGGACAGGTAATGGATGTTAGCCACTGTGGATAAAAATCAATGATTTTTTAAACACCTGGATTTTTTATTTAAATTAGATTTTTTTGTTGTTAAGATGCTTTAAAGAAACCCTATATAAAGATATGTTACAGCTCAAAGATATCATTGTACAATAAGGACTATAACTTTTAATTATATTCTATTTGACACAATATTTTCATGTAACCTTTTTAGAAAAGTTTTATAACTAGGTCACAACAGGCCACAGACTATATTAGGGGCCCAAGTTTATGGGGTTCCCAGAGGCTTCTCTCTAGATTAGTAAAGATTAAAGAAAACCACCTTACCCAATGGGACTCAGTGCTCAGTCTAGAAAATCTCATTAAGCATCTCTGTGATGCTTCGTTTCAGTTCTCCAACTGTGGATTAATCTCTCCGAGGTAACACCCTTGTTAACAGCAATATATGGAGATGAGAGATAACAGACCTGATTACCTACCCATCAGCCCTCTTTTCTCTCTGCAAGTTTGTGTACACAGAGTCAAACCCTCACCTCCCTCTAGAAAAGCAAAGTTTCAAGAAGTTACATGAATAAAGGATTGTTGGGGGTGAAGTAGATCTGGACAAGGAGCAGGAGTCTGAAGATAAATTCAAGGAGGGAGGGGCAGTAGAAACAAAAGAGAAATATTTTGAGCAAACTATTCCAGAAGTCTTGAGGGATAAAGCTTCTGAGTATAGCTTTTCCATTGTTTTGAGATCTAGTGAGGGAATGATATGATAGAAGGGAAAACCTATCATGGCAGCAGGCTTATAAGGCCATGAAAGAGACCGTTTGGGAATATTTTAATGAAGGTTATATCAAACAACAAGAATGCTTTTTGTAGAAAACAGTGATTAAATTGAGGCTTTCTGACCAGTGATTTAAATTATGATTTAAATTTATTTGATTTAAATCAAATCCACCCTGATGTTAGCTAAAAATTTTCAACTCATTTTGAGTTTATAAGTAACGTCTAGTTACTATCTAGCCTGCATCTCTGTTTCATGGGAGATTCACTTCATTATTTTTAAACCCTTCCAATACAGTAATTTTGAATAAACATTCTTTTTGGTTTTTTTCACCATTATTAAACATGAAATTTGAATTTATTCAAGCATGCATGTCAGTAATTGATTTTGTGAGCTAATCAAACTCTTTAACTTGCATTTGATATCAATCCGTAAGTTTGTTGCCTTGTGTTGTAGAAACTTTAAACTTAAATTTATCTGTGGTTGAGACATAAGTGCATGGTATGATGGGTTATGTAGTAAATATGTAACATCACAATATAAGGCTTGGAAAGGGGAGGTTGAGCACAAAATATTTCTGAATCTTGAGCATTTTCTTGAAAAAAGATTTTTATTCTGTTAGGTTTTTTTAATTCGCTTTGCTGATTTGATACTTTTACTTTAGTAAAGACAATTGTTTGGTCTAGCTTCTCAGAGAAGTCTGAATTCTATTTTGTGATATGTTTATCATGAAAATTAATGTCACACAGATCACCTGTGGCTTCATTGTAGGATTAAATAAGACATGAAAATCCTCAAGTGCTTTTTGAAAAATGAGTCTCGTGAATAAATATGTTAAATCCATAATTTGAAACTTCCTTGATTTTGAAGATCTCTCTAAATAACTGTTAATGGGAAACATAGGGACTTGAATAACTAAAGTAGAGTTATGTTATTTAGTGTGCGTGTCTTTTTTTCTTCTCTTTTTCATAGGTTGTAAAAGCTTATGATCGTGTGGAACAGGAGTGGGTGGCTATTAAAATTATAAAGAACAAGAAGGCTTTCTTAAATCAAGCCCAGATTGAAGTGCGACTTCTTGAGCTTATGAACAAACATGACACTGAAATGAAATACTATATAGGTATTTAAAAATTATTCTTAAGTAATGAATTATAAATACCTGAGAATTGGGTTGCAGAGCCTAGGACCTTGCAACTAGTTTTTATATTGGATTTGTGTATTTAGTTTTACAGTGGCGGTCAGTTTAAAACAGTTAACCTGTCTGTTGGTACAAATTAATCTAACATTTGCCTGCTTTTGCTAGACGTGCGCTAAAAAGGAATAACAGCTTTCATTACCTTTCCAGTTAGAGCCAAACGTTGCACAGCTCTTAAACTTAGCCTTCTAGGAGGACATGGCTGAGATAATCTGTTATTCTCAGTGTTGACTTTGGATAGTGAGAGTTCTGCAGTGGGTTCTGACAACCTGTGACTTCCTTTCTCATTTCACTTTCCTTCATGCATCATGGAAACTGCTTGGGTCATGGTCAGGAATTGTTTCTGTATTCTCCAAGCTCCCCATCTACTTCCTGTTGTATCCAGTGGACTTGTATCCAATGCTGGGACTTGTCAAATGTTTCCTTTGGATACCTGAACTTGTCAGATTGAGAGAAAATGAGCGCGGTTGTTAGATTTTAAAAAGTACAAGAGCACTGCTTGACAGTATGTCAAGTTATTTCCCTCAGAAATTAAGACATTAGAGACATTGCCAAATATCCTGATGTGATTTGATTAAGTAGTTTCCCTCTCCTCCAAGGAGATCTTTTTAGCCAAAGCAGAAGTCTAATGGATGTTTTCCAGTTTACTTTAGATGTTGAAGAATTAATCACCTGAGGGCTGAAAGAGACCTGATGCCAGATCTGCATTATTGACAGCTGAGCATATTTTTATGTTTGACTCTTGGGGGACTGTACTCTTTGTAGACTTTACAGTCCTGTCTGCAGTTAGAAGGTTTTCTCGTTCTGTATAAAAGGACTGTGTTTCTCTAGTTTTTTTCTGATCACAACTTAAAATCTATGCAAATCATAATTAAGTCCATTGCCAACAGTTTTTATGAACACTGCCAAAGCCTCTCTATAAAGCATCCCCAAAGTGGTCATAAATCTGTGCTCAGTGAATCTCTATTAAAAAATGTTTGGGAAGGTAATTGGTCAGTTTCAAACTTTCTGTACAGTACAGTCTTGGATTTAATCACCCTCTCTCTCCTAGTTGTCTGATAAAAGGACTCTAGGCTTAGGTTCTGGAGGGTGGAATTCCAGAACTGGGTGAATTTGATCTCTAACCTTTTTTTCAAAGGGAGCACTTTCAAATATGTTTTGGATCAAACATTGCAGGACCTCAGTGGTTCTTCCTCATCACGAAAACATGTTTTCCAGCTTCATTTCCCCCCAACTTCCCTGATGGATTCACGTATGGATCTTTCTTATGGAAAACCTGATGTTCCAAGGGGCAAGAACAAACTAGTTCAGAGCCAGTTGATTCTTTTTTATTCCAGCTCAGTGGGGTGAGGGTTGCATATCTTTAAAGATCCCTTTGTAAATCTGGAATACATTTGCAGGCTTACTTTTGATTATGTTTTAACTCCAACAACTCTGTACAGTATGTTTTGAAAACAAGAAGCAAGTCTGTTATTTTGTGCACTTCATCAAACTTGAATCATCTCTCTTCCCAGATCAGTATACTGAATATTTCATCAAAATCCACAGTAAAGGTCTCCTTTCTGCAGGTAACCCTTCTGAGATGGCAAGACAGTTCAGCACATTCTAATGGGGAATTCTTGATCGGGAATAGTCTTGTGCATAACTAGAGACATTAAGCCAATGTATGTCTTCACAAGTTTAAAATAGTTATTCTTTGCTCAGTATGTTTAGCAGAAATGCCCTTGCATACTTAAGTTACATTGATCAGCTGGTCAGGATAGTCATTTCCTGGGCTTTCAGTGGATCAGCACCAATTGCAGTACATGACTTGTGTTCCTTTTGACTTGCCTGATTACAATAGCAGCAGCCCTCTGAAGGGTTGGTATTTAAGATCTGCATTAGTTGCTTACTGGACTTGATGATGACTCATTGTGATCCCACCAGCAAAAGTTTGTTTTTTGTTCATTACAGAGAATCTATAAGACGAAATAATTCATTTAGCTCATTCAGGTACATAGTGCTTTCTTACTTGTTCTTTGTTTAGCTGCTTAAGGCTATTGAGGTCTTGCTAAGATTTGATGACTTGGTTTCAGTTTCACTTCAGGAACCTGTAACAGTATCTGTTGAATTCCAGAGTTTAGTACTTTCAGTGCTATGACAGAATATTGTTACCAACAGTGATTATAAAATGCTCCTTCAGCTAGTAAGCAAGCAGAGAGAGAGAGAGAAGATATTTTGTAAGGTATGCCTTGATGGATCCTCTGACTGCAGATTAATGTCTTGGTCTTGGATGCCTGTTTGGGTCAAAGGATGGTGCAGGGTCTGAAATACATAAATGCATATTCTGTATTTGTGTAGTTGAGCCAGAAGTGGTTTGATTAGTGTTTCTTGCCAGGAAAACATTTTCATCCTTATATCTGATAATATGATGGGACACGTCTTCAGTTTTTTATAGTTTTAAGGTGCAGAATTGAACATGGGCTGCCAAGCTTTCAACTACTAATTACTTGCTCTGAAGTCATTCTTTATAAAGCTTTGCACAAATGATTGTTTGAAGGCCCTTTGCAAACATGCCTTTGAACTATTTCTTCCATTTGTCTTACCCTTTTATCCCAAAAACAAAGTTTATTCAATGGCTAGTACTTCTGCTAGAAGACCATCTGGGTGTTACACATGTTAGATTTCTCATTGCTTTCTATAATACATCATCCACCTACTTTCATCCCTAAAGTCTTGTCCCTTTTTCAGTTAACATATACTTGGAGTCTGGACCCTTTCAGATCTATTTATTTAGTGCGACTGAGCATAGAAAACCAGACTGCTTACTCTCTCTTAAGGAAAAGTATAGATCCAAGCTCTTAAGTTTTATTCAGCTAGCACATCTAATGCCTACAAGTCCTTCTTACTGTTTACATAAAAGTTCATTTGACCAAATCTATATCAGTTTCCTCAAAGGAATTAAGCTTAAGCTTGAAAATTAAGCCATACTGCTTGTTGGCAACACCAGTGCACACTGAAAGCAGCATAGTCATGGCTCTTGGAGAACTGCTCTAATTAAAGCACTGCTGCTTCTCCTGTATCAGCATCCCTGTGCTTAAAAATGGCGGTGAGGGTGCTTGAACTACAGTTTGTTCAATGAGCTTTAGTTCAAGCACCCCCACCACCATTTTTAAGCACAGAGACACTGATACATGTGATGCAGGAGGCTGCTGGAGCTTGGCAATTGCCACGCTCCAGCAGACTTGATTATTCAAATCTACTCTGATGCGTTGGAATTCAACATAAAGGAACAGCCTCTGTGCTTGTGTGTAAGTGCCATTAGCTTTTATGTGTTTTACTGTGCCTATAAATGTAGCCTTTTCCCATGTTTGAGTTCTTGCTTTCTAGGAAATGGCAGGGTAGAGATGCATCTTATAGACTGACTAAATTAGAGATGTGGAAGCTTTTGCGAGCCTGAGCTCACTTGGACTTGAGCTAAGCATGGCTTTGTGCATTTCTGATACTCCTATAAGGTGCATACTTACCCTGCCTTCTGCTGGACATTAGACTAACGTGGCTAACTTTTTCTTTCTGGGACGAGACATCAACGGGAGTATGAAAAAGATCTCGTATTTCCTAGTATTTCCTTTCTGTACTTCTTTTTCCACCAGCAGAGGAACTAGCCATTTTTCAGTGTAAAGTTAAAAGTTTTGTTGTGCATGTTGGGAGTTTTGTTGTGCGTGTTGTAAATGGTGGGAGAGTGGTGTTGTAAAGTTGAGTTGTGGATCCAAGGAGACTACGAGATGATAGGACCAGCAATAAAATTTGTCAAGACAGGGAGGAGTTTCAGCTGTTTAACCTATACTCAGAAAACCAGGATACAGAAGGAAACAGATAGTTAAGTAATGTGTTTTATTATTCAAAACACACAAGGATCTCTAATAAAACAGAGATAAATCACAAGTAAGTATTAGTACTCTTACCATGTCAGAGCACAAAAAAATAGGTTTAAACCTCAAAAGCCTTGCTGTTCTAGTTGATTTAAATGCGGTTTTTTTCTGGGGGGTGTTTTCACTGTCCTTTTAATTTCATAATAAAAACTGAATTAACAGCCAGGTAACATACAGAAGAAGTCTGTTAAAAAGTCATGTTTTAATAGCCTGTTCTTTGGAATGAGAAATTAGGGAATCAGAGGGAAGGATGATAGAAGTCAATGGGGAAGAATCAGAACAGAGGAAGGGGAAGCCTGAGAAGAAGTACAGAGGGGAAGATAATGCATTTATCTTCTGTTACCCTGTTTCTCTGTTTTATGTACAGTGTGTGTCTCTGTTTTAACAGTTTAAAAATACTAGCTTTGGTCTTAATGTTATGTTTTTGTATTGATTTATCTTGATATGGAAATACATATTTTAAAAACGTTAAATTACATTAATACTAAATTATTCAGGATTGTTTAAGTTATTTTATTCAGTATCGTATTTGTTCACCTATAGAAATACATTTTTATATTTCTAGGTAAGTATGCATATCTAAAATAGAACTACACACCGTATTATGTGATGAAATGTCTTTAAAATCCTGCAAACTACGAAGTGTTTCATTAGTATGTAGCAAAATAATGATATACTGTGAGTATGTACTTTTAGTATTAGGTTGAAAGCCTTGATTTGACAAACATTCCACAAAGCAAGATTTTCAAATTCATTTTACAGATCAACTTCCAATAGATCTATTAAAGTGCTTTTGTGTCTGTCTTGTGTGTGTGTGTACTGGTGATAACAAACATACTTAAATTATTTCCTTTCTTCCTTTTAAAGTGCATTTGAAACGCCACTTTATGTTCCGAAACCATCTCTGCTTAGTCTTTGAAATGCTGTCCTACAACCTCTATGACCTGTTGCGGAACACCAACTTCAGAGGTGTCTCACTGAACCTGACACGAAAGTTTGCACAGCAGATGTGCACTGCACTGCTTTTCCTGGCGACTCCTGAACTTAGTATCATTCACTGTGACCTAAAACCTGAGAATATCCTGCTGTGTAATCCCAAACGGAGCGCTATCAAGATTGTTGATTTTGGCAGTTCTTGCCAGCTTGGACAGAGGGTGGGTCTTACATATCATTGTATACTTGATTAAAAATTTGAGAAATGATAAATTTACAAATGAAAATCCCAGTGCTTTGTCATTGCTGCGTTTCAGTCTTGAGGAAGTTGCTATTTATGAAAGTTTCTCTTTTGTTTTATTATATGATTATGGCAACAGAAAAAAGGAGTACAGGATAAGAACTTTTATTTTTTTAGTTATGTATAGAACTTCTTTAACAAACTTGACTTTTTATATTCTTAGTTATATTTTCCTGTTAATTTGCTAATGTAGTGTGCACCTGGATTTGGCAATAGAAGCCTTACATGGTGTAATAGTAATCAGAGTATAAAATATTTTCATTAGTATTTTCTTTTCTATATTTGCATTTCTATCCTTTCCTTCTTTAGGATATTAGTATTTTGGGATAGGTTAATTCAGAAGTTCTGTGTTAGTAGAAACATTGTAATTAGTGGTTTAAAAAAGAGGGGGAGGTAATTCAGTGAATATGGCCACAGACCCAGCAAACTTGTACCTGGGAGATTTGACTCTCAGTTGTAATTACACATTGAGTACAGTGGTACTAGTGTAAGTAAAATTTTGTATATGTTTAAACATTTTCAGGTTAGAGGCCTGAATTACTCTGTCCTAGAGGTTTTCCTTTTAGATGAAGATAGATACACATTTATTGGGCAGTCGGGTATCTTGAACTGCTAACTCCAGTGCTGTGTGTGTTTTCAAGGATAAGTATATGACTCCAATATTGAGGGATATCTTATTTGTAACCACTAATGTACAGTGAATCAAAGAAAATTTTAGAAAAAGGGATTGAACTTTAATTTTAACTATAAGTACACAACCTCTAGTTTAGGACTATATATATGGGTGCAGACTTTCCCTCCCCATGCGCCCCCCCCTCATCAGAGTGCAGCTCATCTGAATAGGATATAGAGTAGGGCCCATTAAGTGCAGTCCTACTGTCTGCTGACTCTTTTTCAAGTCCTTGTGAGCCACTACACTGCATACACTTTGACTTACTCCTAACTCCCACATCTGAGTTGTGCCTTTCTTTCCCATTTCTAACGATTCCTGTTTCTTCACCATTCTTAAATGTCTAGCACACATCATGAAATGGGCCCCCAAAGAGTTCACCCAAAATCCCTCTCTTAACCTGGCGCACATGATTAATGTTTTCCCTCTCTCCATGAGGTGAAGCTGGACTAGGTTGCTCTACGCTTCATCTGCATATACATTTTTGAAGGATCCCAGGACTCATGACAAGGACACTTGGTTCCAGTCGTGAGTGGATGGCTAATAAGCATATGGCTCCTCTGTGTGGGGGTACATACACATACTGAGTAGTGCTGAGCTGTGGCGTCACCATGGCTTGAAATGCTCTTGACTCTGGTGGGGCTCAGCCCAATTAAATATGTGGTAAACCATGAGACTTTGGCTTTGGACTAATATCATGCATAGTTTGGTGTCCAAGTGCTGCTCAAAAGTGTGTTTAATGGAGTACCACTGCTAAAACTTGTAGCAGTTTCAAAAAAGCTAACATGGATCAATTCTAAATGAACTGAGCATATGGGTACTACATACAAATTGCTATAGCCATGTTTAATTTCAAGGTTGTCATTTTCAAATTTGCTTCTCACTTCCATGTGCTTATTGGAGAGCAGGATCTGACAGTAAGGAGAGGGGGAAGGGGCTGGCTGGGGAATAAGTTTGGGAAGCAGAGAGCAAAGAGGCTACCGGATTCCCCAGATTTATATTCTCTGCTGTGGCAGTGGGCAGGGGACTAATTCAAGGCAAACCCTGCAATAATTAGATTCTATACCTGGAAAATTATGACAAATTTATAAATTTTCCATATTTAGGATATAATTGTTAGAGGGGTCATCTTATAATCGGGGTCATCTATTTGAGTAAATCTGGAATTTTAATTTTAATTGGGAGTCTGCATATTGAAATTATAGCAATTTACATAGAACATGTTAAGAACTTTCTCTGATATCCTAGCATTGCAGCTAGGTTACTCCGTTACTGACTGACTTTCAGCTGGTAAAGAAGCATACAACATGAATAGTAATTTTTCCATGGCTGGCAGTTGTGAGACAAAGCCATGAGGCAAACAATTGACAGAGGTTCCTATAAAGCAGAATTTTCAGACATCTTAAGGTTCATTGCAGGGCAATGGGATATAGACTCACAAGTCCTTAAGTAACTGAAAAATTATCTTAAGCTTCCAAATCATTAAGTGCTACTGAATATTGTACTTGTAAGGGTTTGGGGGGAAGTGTGAAGAAGTGTGTTCATGACCTACAGCAGGTAGTCAACAGAAATCTAAATAGGATGGACAATGGAGAAAATAATTATAAACTCAAAAGAATGAACAAGATAAATATTTAAAAATGTGTTGCCGTGATTGAAGCAAAGTGTAGCAGTGTAGGTTTTGTGAGTAACTACTAGTTAGTATTGAGTTACTGTTATTAACACTTCTGACTTCATAGTATAAATGCAGTTTATTAAAATGTCAAGCTTTCTTTGTGGCTCTCCCCTATTCCAAAATTACTTTTTTCTGGTAATTTCCTGTTGTAAGTGACGAATATATAAATCAAGATAATACTATGTAGAAGTTTATTTGTTTTTTTCAATACTTTTATTTCAGATATACCAGTATATCCAAAGTCGTTTTTATCGATCACCGGAGGTGCTACTGGGAATGCCTTATGATCTTGCAATTGACATGTGGTCCCTTGGGTGTATTTTAGTTGAAATGCATACTGGAGAGCCTCTTTTTAGTGGAGCAAATGAGGTCTGTAATTTCTTAGAATAAGTGACTGTTCATTCTAATTTGCATTTTAATCTGATTAATTGTAAAACAAAAGTTGTTTAATTATTTGAGAATGGTCAACGGCATTGCAGTAGAAACAGTATCCTGATAGGTATCTAAATCATCAGATCTTAATCTCAGATTTTAATTTATTGATTGATCTAATTTTTTATACTTATTAATATATTTGCTCTGAATTGTTTTCTTAGAATGTACAACTAATTATGAACTCCACAGCTTATATGGATAGCAAACATTTTCTCCCCATTTTTATGTATTGAATTTTAGATTCTGCCATGTGTACTAAATAACTGGGTAATTTCTTATTCATAACAATTATCTTTGAACTAGGTGGATCAAATGAATAAAATAGTGGAAGTTCTAGGGATACCACCTGTTCATATTCTTGACCAAGCACCAAAAGCAAGAAAGTTCTTTGAGAAGTTGCCAGATAGCACTTGGAACTTAAAGAAGACCAAAGATGGAAAAAGGGTAGGTTATATACATTCTATAAGATATAGATTCTCTAAATAGCTTTGTTGACTACTGATGCTGACTGAATTTGTGTTTTACTGGATCATTAATTTTAATACTATTTAATATAATATCAAAAATATTGACAAGGAGTTTTCAACTTTGATTTTTTTTTAATGATCCATTTAAATTATATTGATTTTAAGCCTTAGTTTATAACTAGAATAGAACTCATGGAATTTCTGACTTCTCAACAGGAGTACAAACCACCTGGAACTCGTAAACTTCACAACATACTTGGAGTTGAAACAGGGGGACCAGGTGGACGTCGTGCTGGGGAATCGGGTCATACTGTAGCTGACTACTTGAAGTTTAAAGACCTCATCTTAAGGATGCTTGACTATGACCCCAAAACTCGAATTCAACCTTACTATGCCCTGCAGCACAGCTTCTTTAAGAAAACAGCAGATGAAGGTACAAATACAAGTAACAGTGTGTCTACGAGTCCTGCCATGGAGCAGTCACAGTCTTCAGGAACCACCTCTAGCACATCTTCTAGTTCAGGTATGTTTCTCACTGATAGATGATCACAGTAGAGATGCACCGATATATCGTCCAATATTGGAACGGTACTGATATAAAGAAAATGTGCTGTATCGGATATTGGGGCAATGGGGCTGATAATTTGGCTGATAGATAGATTGATAGATCAATCCCACAATGTGCAGTGAGGGAGTGGGCAGGCGCAGGTGGGGCGTGGGACTGAGCCATGGCTCCTTGGAGAGGGGGAGGGGCAGCTCCCACTGCTGCTAGCACCCCAGTAGGGCATGGGGTGAGGGGAATGTACCCCCCAAATTTGCACGGGTTGGGGCAAGCTGCAGCCGGGGCTGTGCAGGTCTCTCCTTGGTAGGGGCTGGGCTTGGAGCAGGCACCAGCAGCACTAGGAGGATGCTGTATCCACCCCAGATTTCACTGCTGCTCTGCTCCCAGCGCTGCTGCCACCACCCGCCCAGTGCTGCTGCAGCTCAACAACCTGCCTCCACCCATTCGCTGAGAAGAGCCGGGGCTGTTCCAGGCGGCTGGTGGCAGCAGCGCTGGGAGAGGAGCAGCAGCGAAATTGGGTGGATGCAGCATCCTTCCAGTGCTGCTGGCGCCTGCTCTGAGCCCAGCCCTTGTCTAGAGGAGCCCTGCGCAGCCCTGGCTGCAGCCTGCCCTGCACAGATCTGGGGGCACACCCTGCCCCACCCCCCTTCCCTCCCCCCTCCCTTTCCATCACACCAGACTTACCAGCTGGAGGCAGCAGTATTGGAAATCGAATCAGTATTGGCTGATATGCTTCCTTAAATATTAGGTATCTGTATTGGCCCCCAAAATCTCTATTGGTTCACTCCTAGTAATTTGTACAGTTTCAGTTGCATGCCTTCAGCTTTTGAGGAACAATTTTGAGCAGATTTTAAAAAAAATCTGTTTTTAAAAAGAAAACAATTTTAAAGACTAATTTTAGACTTTGATCTTCAAGCAGTTCATACCCGTGTGTCCTCATGTTATGGAACAAAGATTTGTATTGTAATCTTTATTTTCTATTGTTATTTAAAGGTGGGTCTTCTGGAACAAGCAACAGTGGAAGGGCACGGTCAGACCCTACTCATCAGCATCGACATAGTGGTGGACACTTCACAGCGGCAGTCCAGGCTATGGACTGTGAAACGCATAGTCCCCAGGTACATTCTTGAAATGAGCATCTCCCTTTAAAAAATGTTATTTAAATCACTAGCTTTTATTTTCTAAGGCAGTGGTTCCCAACCTTTTTTTGCTGTGACTCGCTGCTGGGAATGGAGTGAGGCGGTGGTGGTGGCCCAGGGGCAGGGGAGCTCCTGGCATGGGGTGCAGCTCGTCTTTTGTGTGCAGTGCTGCTGGCATTGCCCCTGCAAGCTTCATTTGGGTTGCGACCCGAGGTTGGGAACCACTGTTCTAAGGCAAGCATTGGCCACCTTTTGGGGCAGCAGGCCGCATTAACAGAGCTAGCACATTCAAAGAGATTACTCCCTTTTCATAGGATAGTTGCCAGTGCAGTGGTACTCAGCCTTCTGGCTCCATAGGCTGGCCTGACACCGTGAACTGGATCTGCCCATACACTGGTGCTATCTAGGGCACTGTACCATGCCACCTGGCCCATGGGTTTCCCTATGGATGCAGAAATTTGGCAGCAGGGGAGCAACAGTTAATACAGCCACTGCTCTCCTGCTGCCAGATTTCCAGACTATGGAGAGACCCACTTCATGGATGTCACGGTTCTGTGGGCCCATGGGCTGGAGTTTGAGCATTACTGCGCTCACTGCTTTCCCCCGTCCATACAAAAAACGTGGGATCCACATAAAGGTTGACCTTTTAGCATATCCCAGAGAGCTATTTTGAACTGCAGTGTGGTGAACTTCCATAGAACATTTTTCTTTATTCCAATTTTAAATCAGTATTTACAGGTATCCTGCAAGGTTGAACGAATGTTTTGTCAAACTTTTGATATTTTTAGAGAAAAGCCATTGTAGAAGTGCAAAGTATGAATAGTTTGAATTAAAAGTACAAACTAGTGCATTGGAGGCCACCCTTTTTGGCAGGTCTGCCATCGATTAGCCCCGCACTCCTTTTGAGTGCCACTCTAATCCCTTTCCCCTGCCTGATCTGCTCTGCTTTCTGCTTCATGCCCTATCTGTTATTGTGCTGCCAGCCTGTCTCCTCCTTGATCTGATGCATGCCACAAACAGAAGCTGCCCATGCTACTTGTGACATGCGTGCCACAGGTTGGCTGCCCCTGAAATTATTGCTCGATTTACTGCTAGAAGAATAACACTGAAATTTAGTAGTTATTGACCATTGGTACCCAGCACTGTAGGATAGTGGGAAAACAAGATTTTCTGATATCACCAAGGGGCGTCATTTGTGCTTCTGCCCAGGTGAGGGAAAATTACAATTAGTTTATACAGATTTACAATTCACTAGAGTAAAAAAAATATTGAGCAACCAGTGTGCAGTAGCAGTAACTATTATAAAGCAACATAGAATTGAAAAAGATCTCTTGCTGTTTCAGGAGCAATATTAACTTAAAAACTTTCATAAACTTATGAAGCACCATCTCACTAAACTCTTTTGAGGCTGCTCATATTCCACATTAGAATCATGGGCATGCAAATAAGTTTCATGTGAGAAAGAATGGTAGAACTTTAGAGCATGTAAGCTGCTCTATGGGAATTGCCCATGTGCACACATTTTACTATATTAAGTGAAAGTTAATCTATGGTAACTCAGTCCTTTGGGGTTAAAAACATGTGTATGTATTGTTACCGTAGAACAGCCTGGATGCCATGAAGTAATGTGCCACTCTCCTTTGCCTGTTGGTAATTTGTTCGTGTGCCCATGCTTTAAGAGTGCTTTTATGCAGTATGTGTTAATTTATTTTGGAAGTGGATTAACCTAAACTGCACAAAGTGACTTCTTGTTTGGAAAAAGTATGTCCATATGGGGCATAGTAGTACAGAGTAACCAATGTATCTGTAATTCATATTCTAGCTCTTACGCAGTAGCTTCCCCGTGTAGAAAAACCCTCATTTTTAGTTTTGTTCCAATAGAGCTGTCTTTCAGTGCTACTTCAGAACCAACTGCAAACTACAACTTGCTTTTTTGTTTAGCATTTTAGTTGTTCTTGAGGCCCCAGTCCATGTCCATGGTCCCACTGCACTAGGCACTGTACAACTATAAACTTACTAATTACTACTCTTTACCAATGCTGTTTTTGACTTTTTAAAAACTTTCTGTAAGGGTATGCAGTTGGTCTTTTGTTCCTTAACTGTCTCAGTGGCGTTATATTTAATTACTGTTCTAATGTGTCTAAGGATATATTTAGGAAAGTATGTTAGAATATTTCCTAAATACATATCTAGTGTATATTTTTGTTGCTATGTAAAATTTAACTTTATTTCGTTTAAAAAGTTAAGACTTAGCTTTAATGTTCTTTGTAAATTCAGTTGATTTGATCTCAGGCCTTTTATATTTTACATTTACCACCATAGGTTCGACAGCAGTTTCCTCCTCCACTTGGTTGGACAGCCACTGAAGCTCCTACACAGGTCACTGTTGAAACCCATCCGGTTCAAGAAACCACCTTCCATGTAACCCCTCAACAACAGAATGCATTACATCATCATCATGGAAACAGCTCCCACCATCACCACCACCATCACCACCACCACCATCATCATGGACAACAAGCCTTGGGTAGCCGGACCCGGCCAAGGGTCTACAATTCTCCAACAAACAGCTCCTCCACCCAGGATTCTATGGAGGTGGGCCATAGTCACCACTCCATGACATCCCTGTCTTCCTCAACTACTTCTTCCTCTACATCTTCCTCCTCTACCGGTAACCAAGGCAATCAAGCCTATCAGAACCGCCCAGTGGCTGCTAATACCTTGGACTTTGGACAAAATGGAGCTATGGACGTGAATTTAACAGTCTATTCTAATCCGCGCCAAGAGACTGGCATAGCTGGACATCCAGCATACCAGTTTTCTGCTAATACAGGTCCTACTCATTACATGACTGAAGGGCACCTTGCAATGAGGCAAGGAATTGATAGAGAAGAGTCTCCCATGACAGGAGTTTGTGTTCAGCAAAGTCCTGTGGCTAGCTCGTGACTAAACTGAAACTAAGTTTGTTTCTTGTGTGTTTTTATAGAAGTGGTGTTTTTCCAAAAACAAAGTGCAAAGCTGCTTGAATCAGAAGGAGATAAACTCACTGAACCGCTACAGGAGGGCAAAGCTGACTATTTTTTTAAACTTGAAAAGTTTGCAAAGGGACAATGAAGTTTTTTAAGAGCCATGTCCAAACCCACCTTTATGGATAGCTTAGAGGTGTCTCACCTTTTGCTTCCCCCATTTTAACTTGCCACAACTTAGTCATAGTTATTTTTTGTCTCATTCAACAGGGGTTAATGTTCAAATGTTGGTCTTAGTTGCAAACTAGTTTCTTTTTAAAGGCACTGCACATGATTTACATAAAAGGGCCCTTTCAGATTTTATGGGGTGGGAGAATGAGTATTATGTGTGTGTGTGTGTGGATTTTTTTTGGGTTTTTGTTTTTGGTTTTTTTAACTTCCCCAAACACACATGGGCACAGAATTGCAGTACTGTAAGGAAGAGGGACCTTCAAATTACACAAATATATAATCTTCAGCTGTAAAAAGGGACGGTTGTAATAGAGTTTGTAAGGCACATTAAGCATGCTAAATGGCGGTGATCAGAACTCTCCTTATCTGAATCTACTGAGGATCAAAGCAGCAATTATAATGGGATTCTGTGTGTCTTGTATTTAGAGACCACAGTCAGCTAGTATTGGAATATGACTGGTCTCATAACTAAGGTGCACTGAGAAGCAATCAACGGGTCGGTCCTGGCCAGTCCTGGGGAGGTTTAAGTGGTGGTCTTTGGGATAACCTTTGGCCTTATGGATTTGGACTCTAAGTTAGAAGAGCCTACCATTTCAGATGCAATCACTTTTGGACATGCATTTGCAGACAGTCCTTAATGCTGAAAACACAGAGAATGGGTAATTCAAGAGGCCTTTCTTTTAAAATAGACTTTTGTGACCCACTTATTGTAAGGTATTGCAAGGTCACTTTGCGTGTGTCATAAAGTTGACTTCCTTATTGGTTGAAGGTCACAGAAGTAGTGGTTTGCGTTTGATGGAAATAGCTACAACTGTGTCCCTTCTTGCTTTTTACTTTTTTCTTTTGCTTTTTCTCGGCACGTGGTTTCTCCACCATTACTTCTGCACAAAGATGTCTTCTGTTCATCCTGAACATTTTTAAAAATGCAGAATTTTATGTGACTGCTTTTTTGCCTCACAATTATGCTGTGAATTTTACAAAAATTTATTTTCTTTTTTGATAATTTATTGTACCAAAGCTGTTTTTATAGCACATAGATGTCTGTAACCAATAATGTAGCAGTTCTGCACTTTGACACAAGGTGTAACTAGACCATTTTTAAATGTCAGTTGAAAATTATGGCTGGACTATTTTTTAAACAAAACTGGAACTGTTGTTGAATTCATTACTATTGCTTAAACAAAACTGGAACTGTTGTTGAATTCATAGCCAATACATTTACAGCAATCTGTGTGCTGAACATAATAGATTGACATCTAATTCAAGACTATAACATCTGTTACATTATAAATACGTTCAGGCTTCTGACGGTAAAAGGGACACTAGATACAGAAGCTATGAAACCAGCAATTGATTCTTGTATTCCTTATTAACATAAATGTAAACTTGAAGGCAAGACCTTGATTGCATGAACAGGTCCAAAACAATAGTATGAGTAAAGCAAAAAGCTCATGTGAGACCTGAGGTTAGCAGGCTGTATTTAACAGGTGCCTAATTTTTGGGTTATGCTGCCTTAATATAACACAGTCAGCTTGGCAGTTGCTAAATTTTTGGGCCCATTTAAAGATTTATATATATTATGATTAAAAACTCATCAGACTAAATAGAACAGGTAGGGTAATTTGGTGATTACCCATCCCATATTGCCCGTTATATATTACGGAAGCAGTGATCTACCTCTGCCAATAAACCCTTTAAAAACTAATGCAGCAGAAGAATATTCCATCACTCATACTGGTCAATGAAGTCAGTTTTTCTGAACAAAAGCTGGGGGTTTTGTACTTAAAATGACAACACAGCAGCTGAATATTGTCTGCATACGAATGAATACTTGGGGTTATCAGTTTTTGTAAACCAGAACTTTTTTATCAGAGGATCCATATTTCTTTTGTACTGAAATGTCAAGCTTGTGGTTGAAAGCATTTTTGAACTCAGTAGTTAAGAAAAGTTTATGGTGATTGAAAGGTTGTCATCTTACAAATGGAGTGCTGAGTTTAGCAATATAAAAAGGAATCCAATACTTACTGCTGTCTAGGAATATAAGGGTAATATAAAATATGGGTAATATTTTTTGTGCTGGTTGCCACATTTTAGCAAGCACCAAAAATCAAAACTGTTTAAAAATTACATAGAGAAGAAATCATAAAATCCAATGCTTCTGCATACTGTGTTATGTTACAGTCCAGTTTTGTGTGCTTTACTACACAGTTTGGTTACAGGACTTCTGTGCATTGTAAACATAAACAGCATGGAAAAGGTTAAATACCTGTGTTCAGATTGTAAGATCTAGTCCGGACTTGCTGTGTATATTGTAACGTTAAATGAAAAAGACAAGCCCTTTGTATTATAGTCATGCAGTCTTATGTATGATAAACAGTTGAATAATTTGTCCTCAGACTCTTTACTGTGCTTTTTAAAAAAAATTATTTAAGAGAAAAATGTAAACATAGTAAAATCTTCCTATGCAATTAACCTACTCCAAACCATGGTCTGGTAGGTATAATTATAGTAGAATATGTAAATATCAGATACATTAACATAGACTTAAAAAAATTATGAAAGTAAAAATTGGAGGTATAACAGATAATTTTGAGTTTTTAATTGAAACAGTAAGATATACAAATCCTTGATGTATAAGTACTCACGTTTCTGCTTGATTCTGGTTTATTATTCTTCAGTATTGTCTTGGATTCAGAGTTGTTTATATTCTTATCTGTTAGGTTTAGACTATTACAGATATCTTCTCACATGCACTACTGAGTTCCTATTACTATAGACTACATAGTAGTCTACATGATTTTAAAGCTCAGAAGTGAGTATTATAATCTCATATGACCTCCTACACAATAGAATCCATAGAATTCTATCCATTAAGTTCTGCATCATAAAGTCTGTATTTTAAAGTTGAGTTAAAATGCATCTTTAGAAGGACATGATTTAGAGGCCTTAAGTGAATTCTCCATCACAGTTCCTGGTAAGCTATTCCAGTAGTTCATTACCGATGTTGCTAAGCATTCTTCATCTTGCTTCCAGTTTAAATTTGTTTAGCTTCAACACCCAACCATTGGATATGCTATTATCTGCTAAAATAAAGGGACCTATAGTTTCAGAGATCTTCTTCCCCATAGTCGGAAGGTGAGCAAGTTGCCTCTAACCTTCCCTTTAATATAGATGAAGCCTTTTAAGCCTCTGAATGTAACGGTTCTTTCCAGATCTTGGATTTTTCTGGTGTCTCCTTCCTTGATGTCGCTTCAATTTTTCAACAATTTTTAATGGGTAGGCACCAGAATTGGCCACAATATTCCACAAATTATCTTATTAATACACATGCAGAGGTAGTATTACCTATATACTTTTTATGCCTATTCCTGTTTATACCACCAAGGTCTGTATTTTTAGGCCCCTTAGTGCCATCATTTTCCTTAGAAGCTCCTAGTTAGTTGGTTATTCACCATGATGCTAAATCCTTTTTAGAATTGCTGTTTCCAGGTACAGTTCCTCATCTTGTAAGTATGACCTTACATTCTGTCTGAGAGTATGACTTCCCATTTGGCTTTATTAAAATGCAGGACGTCTGAAGGTGCCTGGTGTAGAAAGAGATCCAGATGGATCTATGTAAGTGCTCAGTCCTCATTATTTATTACTCTACCAGTTTTGCTGCTTCTGCAACTTTTGCCAGAAGTGATTTTGTAACTGTTTCAGTTAACAGATGAAAATAGTGAACCAGCTTTGAGATGAAAAGCATTAGGCATGAGAAATGCCCTTACTTGTTTGATTTCTTTCACTAAATATTATTGTAGTCTGAGATAAATTGATTAGCCAATGTTCAATCAATTTAATATGTGCTGTTTTAATTTTGTATTGCTTGCTTAGTGTCATTCATGCGTGTCTCGTAGGGGGTGTACAAGGAGGCATCTCCATCCCTCTGTCAGTTGTGATTTTATATGGTGCTGTTATTTTAATCAGAATGTCATGCAGCACTTGAAGATGGTATGAAAATATCTATCTTCAAAATAACCCAATATTCAAAATAATGTATAAGATTAGTATTGCCAGTTTCTTGTATGTTATTCATAACAGTGTAGCCAGATGTAACCAGAATAGTGGCACATTAAAATATTAGAACTCCACAGTATCTTATGGTTCCCAAGCAAGCAGATATATATGTTTTTTCGCAAGTGTAACTTGGTCTAGATAGACCTCTATTTGCTTGCATCTGAGTGATGCTTAGAAATCAGGATTATTATTGTTTTCACTGTGATTTTTAAATTGTTTATTTCCCATAACATTTTTCAAAGATAGAAATGTCAGATAAGTAGGCTCCCTCCTCGCCTGAAATGATATGTGACTACTGGAACTAATTATATTCTACATCATTATGAAACAGGAAAAATGGTCAACACCATACAGCAGTGATTCTTAACTGGGGTACTGCAGCATCCTGGGCTGTTGTGTGAGCCTTTTAAGGGTGCCACAGGGTATATGAGGAGGTAAATGCTTGCTACTTCCCCTTCCACCATACCTAGTCCCTGTGTGAGGAGGTAAGTGCACAGTCATCTTTGAACCCAGCCCCTGTGTGAGGAGTAAATACTTTTTTGAAATGGGGTCCCGCTAAGTACAGAAAAAATTACGGAGGGATACCTGGAGTCTAAAAAAGGTTTAAAAACACTTCCGTACAGGACACAAGTATGGTATATGCCCTGAAGAGCTGAATGGTGTGATATGTAAGGTAGCCCAGACAAAAGTGTTACTTTAAAACAGGGGTGGGCAAATGCAGTCTGTGGGCTGGATCTGGCCCACGAGGCCATTCTATCCAGCCCGCGGGGTCCCTAAAAAATGTAGAAAATTAATATTTCTCTGCCCTTGGTTCATGTAAAAAATGACTACAATTACTACCTTACTCTTCAGGTGCCCTACATGACCAATACATGTGCTGGATATCTGTTCCGACGTGTGCTAATTAGCACATGGAGCAGACTTGATTAATCGAGTCTGCTGGAGCGTGCTAACTAGCACACTCCAGCAGCCCTTGTGCTGTGTATTCAGAGTCCCCCCACTCCAAAATGGTGGAAGGAGTGCTTTAATTAAAGCTCATTCAACGAGCTTGTGTTAAAATGCCCTCGCCACCATTTTGAAGTGTGAGATGCTGAATACATGTGACACTGCCGGTGCTTTAATTAGAGCAGGTCTCAGCCGCTCTAGTTAAAGTGCACCCCCTCCATCCCAGAACACATGTAAAGACACCCATAAAGCTTAGGGTGGCACCCCAACTGAACATCAGCAATGTAACCCTGTAGAGCTGTGTGATTTTATGAGACTAACTAAAGGTAAAGTGTAAGAGAACAAATAGGGACACAGGGCAGAGCCTCTCTGAGACACCAAGAGAAAGGGAGAAGAAACTGCCACACCAAGTCCTCAAAAGTTACAGAAATGTAAAAGCAAAAGTGAAATGAGCGGGGAGTGTATAAAGATGAGAAAATAATGAACTGTTAAGACAGAATTTGTAGAAGTGGTTGATTATGAGGAGGTAGCGGAAAAAATTTTGAAACTTGCAGTGGACTTAGAGAGGACAGAAAATTGATTAATTTGCATGCATGACTTTGTGGCTGTCCCCTGAAACAGGTTAAGTTGCAGGCTGTAGATCAGGGTTTCAGTCAAGACATCCTGGACTTTTTGTGGATCATAACAAATAATTTCTTCTTGGATGAAAATGAAAGAAATAGTAACACATTTGTAAAGAATACTTACTACATTATTGCCAGGGATATCAGAATAGAAGGCAGCTGAGTTCTAATAGAAAACAAAATATGTCAGGAAAAACTGCGAACAGCTCTAATGTTACAATATTTTCTAGTCTAGGCAGCCAGAATGCACCAGGTAAAGTTATAATTGAAAAATAAGGGCTGTTGACCAAACAATGAGAAGTGCTATTATTTTCATAGATTTCATAGACATTAGGGCTGGAAGGGACCTCGGAAGATCATCGAGTCCAGCCCCCTGCCCAAAGGGCAGGAAGTCAGCTGGGGTCATAGGATCCCAGCAAGATAAGCATCCAGTTTCATCTTGAAGGTGTTCAATGAAGGCGCTTGAACCACCTCTGGTGGCAGGCTGTTCCAGACCTTGGGGGCTCAGACAGTAAAGAAATTCTTCCTTATGTCCA